CAATACGATAACTAAACGTTCCATTGTTACTACCAGTGTCTCTCAGATTGTACATCTTTAGTAAGTTTGTAATACAATACGATAACTAAACGTTCCATTGTTACTACCAGTGTCTCTCAGATTGTACATCTTTAGTAAATTCGTAATACAATAACTAAACGTTTCATTGTTACTACCAGTGTCTCTCAGATTGTATTAAGTAAGTTTGTAATACAATAACTAAATGTTTCATTGTTACTATCAGTGTCTCTCAGATTGTATTAAGTAAGTTTGTAATACAATAACTAAACGTTCCATTGTTACTATCAGTGTCTCTCAGATTGTATTAAGTAAGTTCGTAATACAATAACTAAACGTTTCATTGTTACTACCAGTGTCTCTCAGATTGTACATCTTAAGTAAGTTCGTAATACAATAACTAAACGTTCCATTGTTACTACCAGTGTCTCTCAGATTGTACATCTTTAGTAAGTTTGTAATACAATAACTAAACGTTTCATTGTTACTACCAGTGTCTCTCAGATTGTACATCTTTAGTAAGTTCGTAATACAATAACTAAACGTTTCATTGTTACTACCAGTGTCTCTCAGATTGTACATCTTTAGTAAGTTCGTAATACAATAACTAAACGTTTCATTGTTACTACCAGTGTCTTTCAGATTGTACATCTTTAGTAAGTTCGTAATACAATACAATAACTAAACGTTCCATTGTTATTATCTATGCCTTTATTCTCCTAAAGAAGAATAGTCAACTATTCGAAAGCGCTCGAGTTTTGAGTCTCGTTTTGAAAATATTATAAGTTTTCTAAATGATCCTGTGTGCTAACTACTCAATCTAGTAATTCTAAGATAGATAATAAGAAGAAGTAACTTTGATGAATAGAATTGTGCTGCGATTTCTCTTTCCCAATCAGTACTTATAGTAGTGGTTAATAGTATCAAACCAGGAGTTATGAACCGTTAGACTACTAAGTACCAGAACTGTCTCGCCATGAGGTCTAGCGTCTGGAGTTCCAGACCCTATCATGACTTCTCTGTAAATGGTATAGAGCAGATTCGAAACACACGCGACCTCATCCGTAGTATTTGGACAGTGGAACTATTTTTGGGCTTGTTGTGAAAGCGGTTGTTTTCTTAACGGGTGTGGCACAACTAGAAGAAATATCCTCGCGTGTCATGGTCTTGACATGGGTTTGCAACTTTTGGTTTAATTAAACAGAGGTTTTTCTGGTGGAAACGTTGGAGTTCTTTAATTCCAGACCAAATCGGGTAAAATGGGAGAGGGGGGGGGGGTCTGTAATGGGAATTAAAACTTACTTTACCCGACCTCATTAGAAGTTATGAATAACAAATGCAAAATGTTTAAGATATAAGAAATATCTTTATTGGGGAGAAGAAAATTACATTTGGACGATATTGTACAATCAAGTTACTGTTTAAGAATGTGAACTTTTTATGCTCAAACAGTCCAAAGCTTTTCTATCGAAATAATAATCTCCATTTGCAAATAAAAGTATTTAGAATTTTTGTGCAATAGTTCTAACTTTCTGTTGTGAATCTGTTAGTTTGTTGAGATTAATAATTATTCCTTCTCTAATCTTTTTCGGCTTAGGTTCTACCTTGCCTTCACACGTTTTGTGAGAGTTGTTTGTCATTGTACATCCCAGCAGAGAGCCTAACGATCACTTGCCCCATCTGTCGACAACAATCAATTCTACCGAAACAAGGAGTACCGGAGCTCCCAAATAATTTCTTCATCGCAAATCTGATGGAACTATTGGAGCATCCTGCTGCCTGCCAGCGCAGAGAATGTCAAACACCAGGGGTGCGGAAGTGCATGTCATGTGACCAGTTCTTCTGCGATACCTGCTGTGGTGCACATAAGGAGGAGTCGCCATCTTGTGACGAGATGATCGTTTCTATCAGCGAACTGGCTCTGTTGGAAGAACAGGAACTGAACAAAGAGAACCCATCGCTAATGTGCCCCAAACATTCGTGTCAAACTCTTCGATTTTACTGTCGCAATTGCGAAACGGCTGTGTGTGTCACGTGTACAGATATCGAACACGGTGGCCATTGCACCGTGAGATTACGAGATGCTATAGAGGATCAGAAGGATTCTTTGAAAGTACTTCTTCGGAAAGCATATTCGCAGGTACCAAATTTAAACAAGGCTATTGAAATCATTAACTCCACCTCACACGACCTATCGCAAAAACATTCGGATGTTTTAAGAGAAGTTTCTTTTTGTTTCGATTCGCTAATTGAGGTGGTTCAGATGAGGAAGTCGTTCCTCCTCAAAGAGCTTGATCATTGCCACAGATCGAAACAACAAATTCTTTTCGAACAAAGAGAAGCACTCGAACAGTGTCTGAATAACCTGGCAAATAGCTGCGAGTTCACGGAAAACGCCCTCACGCATGGCAACGAAACCGAAATACTATTGGTGAACAAACAAATAGCAGAAAAATTAAAAGAATTTTCCGAATTAGTTGTGAAAAAGGCTCCCGAAGAAAATAGCTACATCGCTTTCGAAGGAGAGAATCTAAACGTAATGAAAACGAATATACAAAATTTCGGACGTATACGAACGAACAGTGCTATTGCACACGAGACGACGGCCTCTGGTGAGGGGCTGAAACAATGCATCGTGGGAAAGCCAACTTTTGTGAACGTTGTCACGAAAAACAGACGCGGAGAAATGGTTAAAACGGGAAACGCTTTGCTCGAAACAGAAATAGTTTCGGCGAGGACTGCCCTGTCATTCAGACCGGAAGTGACAGCACAGAAGAATGGAAGCTACGATGTAATCTATACTGTCACAGAGGAAGGTCACTACAAGCTGGCCATCAAGTTGTTTGGAAAAGACATAAAAGGAAGCCCGTACCAGGTTAAAGCGTCTGTGGAAGAGGGTAGTTCTTCCAGCGATCGTCCAGTCAGTTCCAAGATTCCTAGGACGACGGGAGTACGACAGCGCGCGGTCAAACGGCCACCAAGCTATCCGTCAACCACGTCACTGTCTAGAAAGAATCCTGTTGAAGACGACTTTTTAAGGAGAGTTGGAAACAAAGGACGTGGGAAGGGAGAGTTCACCAATCCTCAAGGAGTCTGTTTAACGCCAGCTGGATACATCGTGGTGACCGACAGCAACAACCAATCTATTCAGGTTTTTTCTCTCAGAGGTGACCATAAGCTGAGCTTTGGAACAAAAGGAAGAAGTGCTGGCCAGATTCAAAGGCCAACAGGTGTCGCTGTCACCCCGACTGGAAGCTATGTTGTGGCGGATTATGAGAATAAATGGATTAGTGTGTTTAATTCCTCCGGCAAATTTCTAGGTCGTTTAGGAGTAGGAAAATTGCTTGGTCCTAAAGGAGTGGCGCTCGATAACAACGGACATATTATAGTTATCGATAACAAAGCTTGTAATATTCTGATATTTCAAGAGAACGGCAAACTTTTGAATAAATTTGGATCGAGAGGAACAGGCAATACAAAATTTGCCGGTCCTCATTATGTAGCTGTAAATAGCAAAAATCACTTGCTGGTTTCCGATTTTCATAACCACTGTATTAAGGTATTTGACAGTGAAGGAAATTACATCTCTAGTTTTGGATCCAGCGGCCAGGGCAATGGTCAGTTTAATGCCCCAACAGGTGTCGCTGTTGACAACCAAGACAACATTCTGGTTGCTGACTGGGGAAACAGTCGTATTCAGGTAACGTACAATGAAACCTCTTCCCCCTCCCCCCAAAAAAAATCGTCTTGTAAAACTATCAATTAAATTTGAAGTTAAGGCATAAGATATCCATAGTTGATGACTATACAGAGTTGTGGGTTTTCTTTATTGTGATATACAGATAACATTACAATGTCTCTGGTAGTAGATAGTATTTATACTCTCCAACCCGCGAGCAGGATGGCCATATTTATATCCTTACATATGATTATCTAATAAACCCGTAATTTAAAACGTCGGAAAATCTTACTTGTGATTAGCCAATAAACCGTCACTTCATATATCAAAAAATCTTACTTGTGGTTATCCAGTAAACTATTAACTTAATATTTAAAACATCCGAAAATCTTATATGTGGTTATCCAATAAACCGTCACTTCATATATACGACATCAAAACATCTTACTTGTGGTTATCCAGTAAACCCGTCACTTCATATATACAACATCAAAAAATCTTACTTGTGGTTATCCAGTTAACCCGTCACTTCATATATACGACATCAAAAAATCTTACTTGTGGTTATCCAGTTAACCCGTCACTTCATATATACAACATCAAAAAATCTTGCTTTTGGTTATCTTGTTAACCCGTCACTTCATATAT